TTTGTCACCCTCCCTAAACTTCCCTTCCTCTCTTGCTCACTCCTTCCCTCTCAGCAAAACGTAGTCTCCATATGGTTATGATCATCCCTAACTTTCTTATTTTTGCCTTCCTAGAAACATCGCCCATTATTCAGCCCTCCTACTTCCCTCCTTCTTCGTGAGTTGGAACATATAACTCTGTGGGAAGCTGTTTGGTCCTATATTTGCTGTTCTGCCTCTCACTACTCCGCAGAAATGTGCCGACCACCAACCGCAGCCCCCATAAAACAAACAGACACAAGTCCATCCCCAACTGATGACATATCTTCTTATCCCTGTAATCTGTAATCACTTGCTATGTGCTCTCTACAGCATATAATTGAAATGAATGCAGTATCTTGAGGCGGAGCAGCGGTGCTTTGAGCTAAATGCTAACATCCACAAGCTAACATGCTCATAATGAAAATGAGAACATGCTGATGATTAGCAGTTAATGTTTAGCGGGGATGTTTACAACATCATCTGGTGCTATCTTTGCTAATTAGCACTAAATAAAAGTACAACTGAGGTTGATGGAATGTCATTAGTTTTGCAAGTATTTTTGACTTTTGACCTGATGATGACCTTGTGCTGGATGAAAATTTGAGGGATCACCAAAGTGAATACAACAGTTACCACAGTGGTGGACTGACCAGCCAACAGACATTGCCATCTCTAAAGCAATGCACACAATGCAAACACAAGATGTGGTGAAGATATCACTCTGATGGGGGGCTGATAACATTTACTAAAACCATAAAACCTCACCATCATTACTAAGTACCAAAATCACATTTGTCATTCTCAGAAAGAGCAATTTGTGTCTGATGCTGATTTGCTTTCTCTCTCATCTTTTGCTCTTTCCAGTTCTACCAAATGCTGCTTGTGCGAGCAATGGATTGGACAGAACACTGAGACATGCACTGGGAAAACAAGATGTACTCCATTTCTAAGAACCACCTGCTGACTTTCACTTTCCATGCAGGCTGTCAGAACAGTTTTTTGAATTTAAATATATAAATAAACATACTGTTTAATTTCAGAAAGATTCATCTATGTCGAAGATGGAGCTGGATGACCTGTTGAAGAACCGTTTTGAAGATATTGAGCAGTATTTCCATTGAAAGATGCATTTCTTTACTTGATATTATATAATCAAGGCCACATAGCAAGAAAGGCCATAATTATATAAGGGCTAAAATACAGTATAGCTTTAAGAAAAACAAGATAGCAATTAGTTAAATATGGAGATGATTTCTATTAAAATTGCAGTCCACCTCTACCAGAGGATAAACTGGCTACATGACTGGCTTTGTATAAAACTAAAGGATATTGTAAAACAGGGTTTAATCAGGTTAAAATCTCAGGAATTTTACAAACTTAACACTTACTGTAAAAATGAACACAAATGCCAGACATCTAAATATAGTTGAGGAATTGTGTTTTTAAAAAGAACAACACAAGTACGCCACATTGTGAAAGAGAAATGTGTGTTGAATAAGTGCCCTGGCTGTGGACAACCATGTGCTCATAACAACTATCTTTCCAACTGATGGCAGTAAAAGGCCTTCAAAGTTCCAACATCACTTGAGTTGAGTTAGTGAGTAGCAACTGCTAAAAATACACTGAAGAACATAACAGACAGAAAGCTGACAGGTAACATCTCTGTGCCTGCCCAGCATTTAGTCTGAATATATATATACTGATACTAATCACTAATAAGAATTACAGTACTACATATCGACAAATCTTTACTGACAGTCACACTGGAGGAAAACCTCACCTCACACAGTTAACCATCACTTGTATGGAACCACTGATTGGCTCAGCGCCTAATAGAGTTTGTCCCTCTTAACAACAAAAACTACATCACTGCCTCAGTTTAGCAACACACTGAAGACTGTGTTGTTAAGAAGTGCTAATACCATGGTGCTCTAATGCACTGAGACTAGTCAGCAGTGCTTTTAAAGGGACAATGTTGACTGTCCATATATAGTGCTTGCCTAAAATGGCACCAGATTAACTGTAAGTGGCTTATGTGACTGTATGTAATCTTGTGCAACCAAAACTGGAAAAAGAAAACTCAAGAGAGAAAGTTCATCATGAAGAGAGCAGAAAATAAGATTAACTATCCTGGACGGTATTATGTAAATACAACACTGTTTAAACAGTGTAGACAAAGAATACAGACCTGTTTACAGTAGTTGCACCATAACAAACAGTACATCACAATGATGTATCTGAACTGTCAGTGACTACATAAAACATCTGAACTGATTGACATCAAAAAAAATACAATGCACATTAAACTTGGCAATACATTCATGTCTGGATAACAGATCGGTTGCTGTGATTCCTGACCCATTGGCCCAGAGCTGAGCTGTGACTTGGTAAGTTCATTAGAGGAATGAGTATGAAGGTGAGGCAAGTTATGTGACCTTTTATTCATTCACTTCACACAGTTCATAAATGGCAAATAGTTACACTAACCTTAAAAAAATGTCTTCACCCAGAGAGGCCTGTGAATAAATGAATGAATACATGGTGAGTATTCTTTTAGCACTGACACTGTGTCAGATGATTTCAGTTGATTCATCAACAAGACATACCAACTGTGATAAAATGCCCATGAGGTGTAAAGCTTTTAGGTAGTGCTGTTTCCCTTTAGCTACTTCAACCCAGATGTTTGTTATATTTCTTTCTTGTCCAGTGAAGCGCATAAAGGCTGTATCAGAATGACTGTAAATGTTTATTAATAGAACACACAGAACACAGAATATAAGCACTTGGGTTAATAATGTTACATCAAATTGTTAGAAAAATGTGTATGAAAAGGCATCACATTTATTTACTCTGTGTTATATTGTTATGACCTACCATCTAAGTTTAGAGCCCAAATTGGACGGTGGATTTAATTCTATGTATCTCCATGGATAAAGTTTGAAAAAAAAAACATCTGTTTAAAGCTATTTGATGTAAAGAATAGAAGAAATTTAAATCTCAGGGACATTACAAACTCATAAACAAACACAATTAAAACATATGCTACACAACTAATAATAATGTGTGTTTTTGGCTTAAGGAATGTCTTGCTTCTTTTAAACTTTCTTTTCCAACGTGGGTTAACAGAGGTGTAGGACTTTATAGGAAAAGCCTGACCATTGTCAGTTTTCAGTTTAGGCAACAGTTTGTATGACCATTTTCTGCCCAAACTGTGGCTGTGTTTTTGTTTGTTACATAAAAGCCTCATATTTCTCATAAAGGAGCCTCTGCCCCCACATCTCACCACTCTTTCAAAAATAACTGTTTTGCTTGAATTTCTTATTATATTACAGCAGTATACAGCATGCTTTCCACACTTCCTCAGCTTCTCTGGATTTCACTGCACTGACATGCATATTTGAGTTGTACATATAAGTGTGAAGCCACGAGTTACATGCAGAGCACTAATGCAAAATGATTAGGAAAGCAGCTTTAATGAATTAAATGGCTTAGCTTTGTATATGCCTGTGAAGTCCTGGCTGATGATACAGCAGTGTAATGTACAGTAGTGTTGTCCTGTCTGGGCAGCTTTAAAGAGATCTCAAACCCTATCCCCATACGACAGTTGAATTGAGGCAAACGCATACATCCAGCAATCTAATTCATTATCTTTGACTGACAAGGTGTGATAATCCATCCGTAAACCCAATGATTCGGCTCTTCCATTAATCAATCAATTACACCTGGCTGAGGAAGTGAGAAAATCCTCCATCGATCCACCAGACAGATTTACCTCAAAAGCTGTGTGCCAGTTCAGAGGCTAGATCCTCTAAAGGTCACTGCCAATGAATGTGGAAGACATGAAGGTCAGGCTAAACCTGTGTCTGCTCCCCAGTTGAGGTGGTCTAGCCTCACTCAGATCAAAACCAAAGGATTGGGGTCAGTCCTGGCAAAATTAACTGCTATCATTATATACTTGATGCTATTAACTTGCTGAATAATCTTGGTCACAACCATAAACAATACAGATTTAAATGTATAGTGGTAATTGTAGTAATCAAGGTAATACTAGTGGCAAAGCCTTGTTGTATGCATGGCAGTGAGTCAGTTAGATTTCTGTAAACCTGCCAGGAGTACAGATTGTACAAGGCTTGGTAGAGGAGCCATCTGTCGTCCTGGCTACCATAACAACCAAAATCCAACTAATACCAATCTACTCCTCTCTAAGCTATAAGAAAGGAAGTCCTTGCACATTCACACTAAGTCTATTCATAAGATAATGTTTTAACCTCAGTGATGTTCTAATGGCAAAACTCACAGCTTGGAGCACAGAAGTTAAATAAGTACTATTGCATAGTGTTTTATTATTGAGCCACTGAAAATAAAAAAAGTTTTTACATATTTTTCATAAAGTAATTTTGAAAATGATAAAAAAAAAAACTGCTTGTGATTGAGTCATGATGCTTGGTCTAAACACAGGTTGAACTAGAGGGGCACTCAGAGAGCGCAGACCTCCACCAAGGCCAATGTCAAACAACATACACCAGACTTAAGAGAAAAAATTGAAATTCATAGTAAATTATCTGCATCATTATAATATCCTTGTTCCTGCACTAGCTATAGGGAAACACAGAGGACCATATGTGCAAAATGTGGACAACACAATATTGTTCACATGCTGCAGGAGATGTACTGTAGTGAAAATCAAGTGATTAAACCAAAAACCAACAAAGACCAAGTGACCAACATAGTTAAAGTCCAGGAATATGGTCTGTCACACCCCCCAACACTCACAATGCCCATACGTCTCTGAGCTTATTCTTTTGAAGTCACATACACAACATTATTTTTACACACACTGAGGACCAAAACAGTAGCGTTCTAATGAATTAATCAGATTTGCTCTAAAACAGCCTTCTTTGAGAAGCTGTATAAGCTGAAGGGAGGGCTCTAAGGTTGGGAGGTCATAGTATAAAAGCAAACAGGAGGCAGTGATTGGCACTCGCACACACTACAGTCGATCAACAGTGACGGATTACAGAAGACTCACTGACAGAAGTGAGGGCACGGTAAGCGAGTTGTTTCTCTTGCTGACCAATGGCACATTAGCAATAGATGGAGATAGTTGAGATAAAAACTCAAGATAATGGTATTACATTTATTGTACAGAGGGGCACCAGGATTTACTGAAAATATAACCTTTTTTAAAAGGTCTCCCCAAAAATGATATTTAAACAAAACATAACAAGTGTGTCATAGATTTATCAATTATCACGTTTTGATAACTCTGTTTAACTCTTTTTTTTTGCAGATTGGATCTATAACTTTTCCATCAACATGTCAAAGTGAGTATACAGGGTTTTCTCTTATCCACTATATTCAGCAACTATCCTGACATAGTAACTGCTTTAATTTAGAGGTTAAAAATCAGTCATTCCAGTTGTGTAAGGCATTAAAATGCTACAAAGGGTAATTGAATATACCTATTATGAATGCTATTTAACACCACTGTAACAGTGATACTTCATGCTGCCTCAAAATGAACAGTTCTTTAATTTGTCCCAAAATCAAAGGTTAAGGATTATTGAATAATCTTGCAGCAGTATGCACATTTGAGGTACTAATCTGACATTGTTTTTTATTAAACTATTACTTACCGATACTTCACTCACTGATGAAAACAAGCGCGTCTTACGATCCAAGCAGAGATCAAAAGGATAATTCCTTCACTAGAAACAAGCAGAGAAGCTTAGCTCTAACAATTTAACATCTTGGCAGAGGCACGCAGAGTCACTGTGACTCCTCTGACACTTGAATCTTCCAGGACATGGATAAATCCTGATTAAGATGGATTGTGTGGATTTGATCTTGGAAGAGAGGTTAACAAGACAAAGGAAAAGTTTTAACAAGATTACTTGGCACTCCCCTGAAAGAGGCAAATACCACCAAGGAGTACTTGTTTGGGATTGCATTCAAAAGGTTATGTAATATTTGAATAATTAAGAAAAACACTAAATTCTCTGAATTATTGGTTTAAAAAAATGACACATTTACCAGGACACATACAACATACAGTATGATGAATCTATTCACTGTAGCAACATACTGTTGGATGACTTGGAGAGTTTAGCAAGAATACTACTACTACTATTTGTCTTGTACTCAAGTTAGCACCATGCATTGAATTTATGAGCAATAGCTTCATATTGAGCAAAACAAGACAATTTTAATTGTATATAATGTTACTATTGTGTACAAATTTACCAAAACATAGTTTTGTCATATGTCCAAATTAGACACTTGTGACAGCAGGTGCTTTTCCATCCTACAAACTAATCCATCCTCACAGGAATGGAGTGGTGGGTGGAGTTGAATGGGGGCGGGTTGGGGTATCCTATAATCGGACATCCGTGGTAGGTTGTATGTGTATAAAATCATGGCATAAGACCAAACTAAACTAAACTAAATTATTGTAATGCAACAAGGCAGAAAGAATTACATTATTTATCAAATAGGTTTACAGAATGTAAAGATGTTGAAAATGTGTGAAAATTTTAGTCTGATTCATTGCATTTTCCTTTTTTTTTCCTTTTCAGGGTATTTAAGAAGACCAGCGGCAATGGACATGTAAGTGGCCTCTATGATATAGTCATTACAGGGCAACCCTCGGGCCTAAGGAGGAGTGCAGTTTGTGTGTAGCTCTTCCAACTCCCAGAAATAACTTCCAAACTCTTGTAACCTTGGCGGAGGAGTGACTGTTTTCCTCTCTGCTTTTCTCCATTTCTCTCAGATTGCCCTGTACTTGGGGAAGCGAGACTTTGTGGACAATGTGGATTCAGTGGAACTAGTTGGTGTGTGGCATAGAATCTGCTTTGCATCCTAATATATATACAAATATGTGCATCTCTGTGAAATCTAACACTGTTTATTGTTCACTCATTTGCAGAAGGGGTAATCAAAGTGGACCCTTCTGGTCTTAATGGCAGGAAAGGTACTTTTATCTCCTTTGCTGTCAGTGATGAAAGTTATAAGCCCTTAATTTACCCAACCCGGACCAATGTGCAACACTATATCATTTCCCATTGCAGTATTTGTCTACCTTGCTTGTGCCTTCCGCTATGGAAGCGAAGACTTGGATGTCATCGGGCTGTCCTTCAGGAGAGACATCTGGATACAGCGTGTTCAGGTGTATCCACCTACAGGTGGAAACGCAGCCAAATCACCTTTGCAGGAGTCCCTCATAAAGAAAGTTGGAGAGCAAGGATGTCCCTTTTCCTTTCAGGTGAAGAAGCATGAACTCACTCTTTACATAACATATCATATTCTTGTCCTTCAGTCCAATGTTACATTGATCAAACGCAGATCTTTACTTCACCTTTACTTTGAGATCATTATCTTAAATTGTATTCATCAGTGTGCCTCATCTCTGCTTGTTTCAGATGCCAACAAATCTCCCATGCTCAGTCGGCTTACAGCCTGGGCCAAACGATGCTGGCAAGGTACTAGTACAGTCCATCTATTTAATATTTCTCTTATTTTACTCTTATATAGTCAGCCATTTTATTTGGGGCTTTTTCTATTGTAGGCCTGTGGCGTGGACTTTGAGGTGAAAGGATACATTGCCAACTTACCTGACAGTGCAGATGAAGTCATTGACAAGAAGTATGTATGCCCACAGTCAAACCATACTGTCAGCCCAATCCTGGCAACTTTTTTTTTTTCATCCTTAAGCTGTAACAGAATAAATGACATACAGAGCACTATCACTGATCCTATTTGCTTGTCTTTTTTCTGGCCTTAGGGACACTTGCCGTCTGATGATTCGTAAAATACAATTTGCACCAGCTAACAACAAGCCCGGACCCAAGGCTGATATAGCCAAGCAGTTCATGATGACTGACAAACCAGTTAACTTGGAGGCCTCCCTTGAAAAAGAGGTACATTTAAGTATGGAAACAGCATTCTTGGTATTTCATAAACTATATAATGATTGCTAAACTATTCCAAATAAAATCATTCTTAATTTTAGATCTATTACCATGGAGATCCAATCACCGTCAAACTAAAAGTCAACAACGAAACCACTAAGGTTGTGAAGAAAATCAAAATCTCAGGTGAGTAACAAGGAAAAAATTAAAACTTGACTGAAGTTAAAGTTGAAATGAATTGTGTTTGTTCGGCTCAGAATAGAAGAAAGTGAGAAACAAATATTAGTGAGGGTTCAACTGTGTGTGTATGTATGTTCATGAGTCATACGTTTTAACTGATACAGAACTGTTCTTTTTCTCTTTAGTTGAGCAGCTAACGAGTGTGGTCCTCTACTCATCTGATACTTACACCAAGGCAGTCTGCACTGAGGAGTTTGGGTAAGGCTTTCTTTGTATTCAATTCGGCTTCACTTGAATTAATTTTGGAAAATTCTTTCCTATAAAAATATTCTCACATCCAAATATCTCTAAAGTGTATCCATTACGATTACTGAGAAAAAAAATTGTCATGGTTACATTTCATTTTAAATCTAAAATGTGTAAAAGTAGAGACACAAATAATGCCTGTTAAGTTAAGCATGTGTTATTTATTTATGGCTTTCACTGCTATACACAGGGAGACAATAAATGCCAACTCTACATTCGAGAAGTCCTTCCAAATAACCCCCCTGCTGTCCAACAACAAAGAGAAGCGGGGTCTTGCAGTGGATGGACGGCTAAAAGATGAGGACACGCATCTCGCATCCACTACCCTGTAAGCCACTCTAGCTCATTCATCAAAGGGCTTACAGTGAGCCCAGGACAGGTTTTCATCCTCTTATTGAGTGGTGGTAATACAACTCTACACTGTGTCATCCACTTATCGTGTCTTAGACCAAATCCTCCAGCTATGAAAAGTAAACTATTCCTGTCCCCTCACAGGAGTCAAGGAGAAAAGGAGATGCAGGGAATCATTGTCTCCTACAAAGTGAAGGTGAATCTAGTGGTGTCCGGTGGAGGGTAAGTTTTAACTGGATAGAAAATATTCATTATGCTTTTACATTTTGTGTCAAATTGTGGAGACTAAGGTTTTCTTTTATTGTCTCTCTCTCACCAAAGCCTGCTCGGTGGCCTAACAGGAAGGTAAATATTGATTTTACGTCATCTGTGGTCATGTGTTATCTATGTGAAGAATATACAAATTGCTATTCTATTTCTTTTTAATAACAAAACTTTTTTATTTTTTATTTTCAGCGATGTCATTGTGGAGCTTCCTCTGACTCTGATGTCCCCAAAACCCGCAGGTGAGTGCAGTGTTTTGCATGTAACTGCAATTTAAATGCTTCCAGAGACATTTCATTTACACAAAAGAGACACTATTTAGTTTACTGTAACTGACCTGATTCACATGTTTAATGTCATGTTCTCCCCTTTTATCCATCTATTGCGTGTCATTGCTGTCCAATGAGCAGAAGTGTGAGTATAACAAAGTCTCTATGAAAAGACATGTATTTGGCTTGTGGCTGTGATGTATGTGACATGCTACTGATATTCTTCTCCTGTGTGTTTGTGTGTTTTGAACCACAGCACATTGGACTAAAGGCCTCTTTAGTTCAGGTGAGGTGACTTCAGATTTGATACGTTTCATGGTGTTCACTTCTTCAAGGGCTACAACATATATAATTTCTATGAAATGAATACTTGATGTAAACACAGCAATGTTAGATGTAGTTCATGACAAATATGAACAATACAATCAAAGGACTTTTTCATTCGTAATATAAGTATTTGTATAATAAAAGTCATGGGGGTCTTCTGAAAGAAGCATAGATGCGATGGCCCTTGAACGTGCACACTGTTTCACACTACAACCCTGTTGAATTTGTGTGAAATATTAAATCTGAACCATTGTTGCTCCACCTCCCAGATGAATTTTTGTAAGCATCTCCACTAGCTACTAATAGACGCATGCATGCTGACTGGTAGCTATTACTATGTATGCATTAGACATATAGCCCACATTATTCATATGCAAAAAGGATTGTGTGCATTATATTAAAAAAATCATTTTCATGTTACCTGTTTTACCTTTGGCTGTATATAAAACTAGATAAAATGCATTACACAAGTTACCTTGGTGTAATGTTGAAGTCACAGAATGAGTTGTTTCATTCCTACAGGGCAGAAATCACAATTGAGTCCATGGAAGGATGAGACGACCAGCGAAGGAAAATCACCTCTCTGACAGAGAACACAGAACACAAAGGAACTCAGCACAGTGAAGAGAACACAGAACACAAAGGAACTCAACACCAATGAAGAGAACCACTACTCATCACTGAGTTACTATAATGTTCTTACTTCCCTTGCACGTATACATTTTTAGTAGGCATTGCTGCAAGAGTTCTATCATTGAAACAGAGTCTAAACTCTCTGTGACATTTCTCTGAATGCCATCATAACATTATATAGAAATAAAGATGTGTTGTATAATTTTCTTTGTCAGAGCAAATGTCCCTTAGCATAGATAGTTATGAATACCGACAATGCAGTGCTTAATTTATTGTTAATGTTTATTGCCATGTCATTAGAGCCATCACACATTATGAATGAATGTGCAGCTGTGGGGTGAATATCCCCAAAATACTACTGTCACTCTTTATAGACAAGAGAAGGAAATAAACATGTTGTTTCCCCAACTACTCTCTTATTTGTTAATTTTGCTCAGTATTTTCACATCGAGACTTTGGTACTTAACACTGAGCTGAAGGGCTTTTATCAAGAAAGTACTTTGTTACAAAAAATATAAACTGTTTAATAAGTTCATGAACAAAGGTGAATGCATAATTGAACAAAAACAGCATTTTACTGTCAAAGCTCTTATGAAGAATGTTTTTCTTTTCTACACAGGCCTCATTCATATACTTTTATTTTTATGCTAGCAATAATGTTGTTAGGGTGAGTCACATTTTACAGTTTGTACTGTGTGTTTTTCATTTGGGGCTAAAATTAATACTCAATGACACACAAGCATTGCTCTGAAAAGCTGCACCAATAGTGAATTTCTGAATCATACAGCTAACTATAATGTCAAATTGACTAACGGTTTAGAGAGACGCCTTCTTCGTTTGCTTCTTGGTTTTCTATTTGCCCTTACTTTTTTCTCTAAACAGGCACCTAACACACTATCTAACCAAATGTTATTAAAAAGGTCTAGCTAAATCTGAGTAACCTAATCGTGCTCGTAGGCCTACCATGTGTGAATGTTCACTCGTTCTGTCTGGCTAAAATCTATGAAAATCCCTTTGCTTGACACATAGATAAATAGCAACAGATTCTTCTCAGAATATGGCCATAGAGTGAGGTTTTCCGTTACCGTTGAAATTTGTTATGTCGTTCAGTTCCTCTTGGTTGCGCTATTTCACTCCTGTATGAATAAGGAAACAATAGCGCTGGCTTGTGCTGGATAAAGATACACTACTTGTCCCTCTCCGGTCTAGACACATCACATCAATAGCCAAGTTAGCTAACTAGCTGTTTATTTTTTAACAAAATGTCAACCACGACCGGCGGCGGTGAGTTTGGCAACCCTCTACGAAAATTCAAGCTCGTCTTTCTGGGCGAACAGAGTGGTAAGCTGGAGATGATGTACTTGGAAGTATGAATTTGGTTGGATGTGAGGGATATGTTTGAGAAGTGGCTAAGATCGGCTAACTAGCTTCTCCGGCTAGCTTGCTGCTGGCTAGGAGGGTAAAGTTACTCACCCAACATCAGCGGCCAGTGAAAATACAAAGCGAGATGTTAATATTTCAGTGTCAATAAGGTGTTTACCTGAGAGTAAGATGACAAAAGGGTGATGGACATGATATTCTTTCTCACTCGCGATGATGTCATTGCAAAGCTAGCAAACGGTAAATGGCTAAACTAGCCAAACATCTCGCTCTTCGTCTTAACGAGAAATTCTTAAAATTAGTCATGCTAACGTTCCAAACCACTGTCGCTTGTGATTTATCTACAGATTGGCTGTTGTCATATTAAAGTAAACGACCTAGTCCTTACTCTGGCCATTAGTTTGTGATGCATCAGCATCATCTCACTAGCGTAATTGTAGTGAAACGTAGCTGGCCAACTACTTTTAGCTAGCAGTGAGCTGTGCTAGATTGAAATACACCAACGTTTTCTTATATGAGCTATTAATCATTACTGAATTGAAACCTTAACGTGGTTGTCAAATTGCTCTTGCTTCCATACAGGATAACCCGTATAAGTCAATGGATTTGTATTAATTCGCTTTATCACTATAGCGTTGTTCAACTCACTAGCTGTTAGCTCCCTACGGCAGCACCTTGCAGAGCCACGTCGGCCAATGGGTTTAGACCAGTCGGCCTTTTCCCCGACCATTTAACGTCAGCTTATGGGGACTGACACCGACATTATCTATACGTGGTTGATTTTGGGAGCGATTGTTCAACATGGCAGTGACAGTTTTCTCTTCTCAAATGAGAGAAATGAATATATTCTTATTTTCCAAATTTTGTGGCTCCACCCATATTGCCAGCTCAGCGTGTGGGTTCAGCAGTCCACATTGCATCAGTAATAACAATTTACTCACTATGTCATATTATTGAGTCATATTGACATTTTTTTTCTTCCTATAATACAGAATTAGAATTGAGATATGTGGGTATTTTATATTATCAATGGAGTTTGATCCTTGATTACCAGGAACAAATTTTAAGGTTGCTATTGTTATATTATATGTTATTGTGTTTGTACAGTTGGGAAGACCTCACTCATCACCAGGTTTATGTATGACAGTTTCGACAACACTTATCAGGTAATAACATATGTTCATCACAATATGACATAGAATTAGTGTGCCAAGACTGAGTATGTTCTAATCAATATTAAATGTGTTTGAGATGTCCTTTTTCATAACAGACTTTAAGACTTCTTAAAAGCAAGTGTAATTAATAGGGTTGGATATCAGCACCCTTCTAAATTCAATTTTGATTCAAAGTCCAGAATCGATTGATTTAGATTCTGTTTTAGATTAGATTCTGTGTCATTAGATAAATGCCATCGTTACGTAAAGCAGAATTTATCCTGGGAAGTTAAATCTCTTTTTACCATCAACAAGTGAGCAACACCATTATTTCTTGAATATAAAACTGTTTGAAGTGTACATTATAGGCTAAATTATAAAAGCATTTCTCGGCTTTGAAGCTACAGATCAAGGATTTCTTTTTTCTTGGCAAATGCATAAGGACCAAAAGATGATAAATCTATATACATCTACATATATTTTTAGGCCTACATATGCAAAACAGCTGAACAAGGATAATACAAACCTATACCATTTACAAGGTTGTCATCACTATGCATAATACTATCCCATGGACCATCAGTAGCAGATGCTTCAACTAAGTACAGACATCCACTTTAATGATCAGATTGAGTGCAGACAGGGCAGACACTGAAAGTCTGCTCACTAATTCATCTGCACTGTTTGTTTAGACAACACATCAGCCTGATATCTGCACACAGCTGATTGGCTAGAGTTAGCTACCCAACAGGGACTGACTGAAAAAAGTAGAATCCACACACTGTTCAGTGGATTTCTACAGTTTCCTCATAGGCAGGGATAATATCTCTTTAGCAAACACAAGCAAAGCTCACATCAGTGGGCAGTCTTTTTTTTTTCAGTTTATCCCTCTCATAGATGCAATCTCTAGATTTGATACTCACCATCCTGAATCACGACAGTCCCATAAAGTGTGGTGGGTTCACACAGACTATAATTGTTCACATTACACATTTTACATGACTGTCTTGATTCAAGGTGGCTCATATATCATCTATATTACTTTTTAACTTAAATTTTTCTTTTATGTATACATTATCATAACTTGATTTCCACAAAATAGATATTTTACACAACATGCATCCCCATCTGAACCACTTGCAACAAGTAACCAGTGTATACACACAACAAAGCACAGACACACAGGTTTACTGAGAGAAGTGGCAAATATAAAGATTCATCTTGGGATTTTAAGAATTTATATATATATCAAATGATTTATTTTTTATCCAATCCGTAGTAATTAACGTAATTTAATTATGACTTTTGTATGATCTTTTGACTCCACATCCTTTAAGATGACTTACCGGCATGGTCTAAGTGAGCACCTAAATGGAACAGAGTCATTGTTAATGTTATTAGCTTCACTTAGTTCCTATGAGAAGTCAAATGTTGTGAAAAAGGTCTGTAGGTAATGTTTAATATAAAATATGGTCAAACTCATTTGTCTAATAATTCTTCCTAGATGAAGATGTGATACATTGCCAAGTATTGTACCTACAACAATATTTTAATGGAATGATTGTATTTCAGGCAACAATTGGCATTGACTTTTTGTCAAAAACCATGTACCTAGAAGATCGCACGGTAAGCCCTGTATATTTTATTGTAATTCTCATCATTCCCATTGCCCTAGTTTTAAAACTGCTGGAAAAGCTTAGGGCATGCATCTGCTTTTTATGCAGTAGCCACCATTTATTTCCCTTTCATCATTTCACATTTACATTATCCTAGATTTTACCATTCATTTTGTTAGACATGTTATCATGTTTTTAGTTCCCATTGTTAAGTTTTTGTTTTCCTTCCATCCCCTGGCTGGATCATGAAATGCCCCCCAACCTATTCCCACATTCATTTTGTGGCTGGCCACAGATTCGGCTGCAGCTCTGGGATACAGCCGGACAGGAACGCTTCCGCAGCCTCATCCCCAGTTACATCCGCGACTCAGCTGCTGCTGTGGTGGTTTATGACATAGCCAGTAGGTATCATGGCCTTGCCTCACCTCCTTGTCCTTTGTTTAATATGTGCAAGGGCATAATAGAGCATTTACTATCCTGGCAAACCCAACTGGACAGCATGATGAGGGTATATTCCGGGCTCTTTGCATCAGTTATGGTGATGCTAAGGCATTTCTCCAGCAGTGTCCAGGGGTGGTCTGTGCTTCCTAAATGCTGTCACATATGAGGCTGGTGGAAGGAATAATAGAAAATGTCATCAAATCTCACCTCATGAGCAGAAACAGCCTCTATAATGATTCAGCATGACTTCCTTTTACGCATCTTATTTGCATAACACTGGTCATCTCTGACCCTGCTGCATTTGAATGATTTACCCCATTCCTCCATAAAAGGCCATTTTCATCTCTGCTGCTTGGCTTGCACTTCTTTTATGTCTGCCCTGTTCTCTGTGTTCTTGGTCTGCCTTTCCTCTCTTCATCTCCACCTCCTTGTCCTTTTCTTCTCCTCCGTTCCAATCCTCAGGTCCGGCTCCAGCTTTGGGACACTGCTGGACAGGAGCGTTTTCGTAGCCTAATTCCCAGCTACATCCGTGACTCTACCATTGCTGTGGTTGTTTATGACATCACCAGTGAGTCAGGGCTGTACTCTAACTTTTCAGTAGGGGTCTTTAGCAATTGGAAGGAAACTATCTTGGCATAGTTGATACTTAATGTATTTCTGCTAATAACCTTTAACATCCTCTCAAGTATTTTTTCCTTTTTCAAGCTTCTCTTCTTAATACGTTTCCTTACTGACATATGGCTTTTCTCACATAAGATGTTCTACCTTTTTAACAAAGAGTAATACCTGCCAGTAATACCAAATGTTT